CACCTGCAGGCTCCTCGCGGGCCTGGGGCGGGGCTGGGCGGGAGGAGAGGCGCTGATGGACACTCACAGGACTGGGGGCTGCGGGTGGAGCAGGTGGGCTGGAGCCAGCAGCAGAGCTGGGCAGGGCGTCACCAACACGGCTGAGCCTGTGTGTGCGTGCGTGTGCGTGTGTGTGTGTGGCGGGGGTGGGTGGGTGGGTGTGTCATTCCCATTTGCTCCAGGGGCCCCACTTCACGTGGGTCTCCGTCTGGTTTCCTTCCGAGGTTCTGCCTGTGCCTTGCGGACCCCAATCTCACTGGTGGGAGAACAGTGATTGTGGGAGATGGTGAAACTCTCATTGCGTCTGGTGGACAAGTCACAGCCACTCACCGGCATTCACGGGGCTGCGGGCGGCTGGGCTCTGAGCCGGGGCTGGGAAGGGACTCACACGGCTGCCCTCCTGGGGCTGCTGGTCTCTCACCTCCCAGGAGGGAACGTGGAAATAGAATTCCACAGCCTTCCATCTGAGGCAGCATCTTCCGAGTAAGGAACTGCCCCCCCGGGGGGGGGGGTGAGGGGGGGGGACTCGTGAGGGTGGACAGCTCTCAGAGGAGCACACACGTTCGGTTGTTTAAAACTGGTCCCATCCCCCCCTCTCTCTTTTTAAAATATATTTTTATTGATTTTGGAGAGGAAGAGAGAGAGAGAGATAGGAACATCAATGATGAGGGAGAATCATGGATCGGCTGCCTCCTGCACGCCTCCTGCTGGGGACCGAGCCCGCACCCGGGGCCTGTGCCCTGACCGGGAATGAACCCTGACCTCCTGGTTCCTGGGTGGACGCTCAAGCACTGAGCCACGCCGGCCGGCCTCACTCCTCTCTTCACGGAAGTTTCCGCGCGGAGTGGGAGCCTGCAGCTTTCAGGAGCCCGCTTGTCAGCAATCTAAATCCGGTGGCGGTTTGGAGCGGGGGTAGGAGATTTTCACAGGAACCTATGTCGCGGGATCGGTGACGGATTAGCACACCCAAATCGGCTTCAAGTGCCCTTAATGGATGGGCTGCTGCGGCAGGAGAGAGTCTAACGGAGTATTTCTAAATTTATGAAACAGAGATGCGCTCCAGGGGGCCGAGAAGTCTACCTGTCAGTCACAGGCCGAGGCGCATCTGAAGCCCGGGCCGCAGAAAGGAATGGAGAGCCTGTGCCTGGTCCCCGAGGCCCCGTCACCCGTCGCAGCCTCGGCCAGCAGGGGGCTCTGACCCCGCAGCCCTCCACGCCCACGCCGTCCCTGCGGAAACCTCCTCGCACGTGGGAGTGAGGGGAAGGTGAAGCGAACCCTCACCGTCCCTGCAAATGTTCACGGAAAATGAAGGCATCGGCTGGTCATGAAGGCCTGTGGGCGCATCGCACATGGCTCTCCTCCAGGGGCGCTGGGTGCTGGGAGGCGGCGGCTGGGAGACCCCGCACGCCCAGCCACCATGTCCTGGCCGCCGATTGACCCAAGCGAGGCTGTGGCTGCCGAGCCGGCCGTGATGAGTGGTGCCCAAGGCCTGGCCTTGTCTCCTTTCCTCGGGAGTTGTCTGCTGTCCCCGCTCTCACGGTGCTGGAACCGTTCCCAGAACTGTGATTCCTACCCCGCCACTCTCTCGAAATGGACTGACTCCCCGCACCCTCTCCTGCTGACGGCTCTATGACCCCCCAGCGCAGCTTTCAACATGATTTCCCTGCGGTCGGAGGCAGTGGGGGCCGGGGCGGGGCTGGTGGCAGGAGCGGAGCCGGGGCTCTGAGCCTCCTATCCCAAGCGCCCAGCACGTGTGATGTGGACAGGGACCCGCTGTGCTCACCGCGTTCTCTGCTCCCACCGTTCTCCCCTGTCCGGTGTCTCCGCCATGAACTTGAGTTCACTGGCACCAGCACACACGCATGGAGTGGCCTCGGTCCTCTTCCCATGTTGTTTGGTTTCTGAGCCCCCCTCCGTCTTCTTGCCTGAAAAATTGGGTCTAAATACTATTGGCTCACAAGGCTGTTGAGGGTCAGATGACGGAGCCGAAGGGCTCAGCAGAGGGCCTGTCCCACGTGGGGCTCTGTGGTCCCGTCCGTGGCTGGGGATGGAGACTTGGTGGCTCTAACATTCGCTCCAGTGTGTGGCGCAGAGCAGGTGTCAGGGTCCACCTGCTGGATGAAGGAAAGAGCGAGTGATGCGACTTGGGGATCATGGCAGGCGCCTGGCCTTGCCGTTTTGTGATGTCCTCGCTCTTAGAGAATCTTTATCAAGTAATACTTATTCACTAACCCAATTAGCCAGCTACAAATTATGACGTCGCTGTGCAACACTGCTGTCAATTATGTGGATTGCTAATAAGAGCTCATGTTTCTGAGCTCTTTCCAAGTCCCAAGAATTGTACTTAGTATTTGTCAAATATTTTGTCATTAATCTTCACACCAGCCCACTGAGGGAATGTACCCGTCAGCGACTGCCACAGCGATGCTGTGTAACAAAACTCCAACCTTTACTGGCTTACAGCTGGCATTCCCATCCCCCAACCCCCATGTGTCTGTAGGTCAGCGGGGGCAGCTCCGAGGCCAGCTGTAGGTGGGGTGATCCGGCTCTGGCCCGCACACTGAGTTCAGGTGTACGCCGCCTGTGTTCCTTCCGGAGCCTTGCTGGAAGAGGCCGCAGCTTCTTGGGACATGTTCTCCTCATGTTGGGCCACAAGAACCAACGAGAGCAGGCCCGGCTCGCAACACGCTTCCAGCCTCTGATTCAGTCGCAAGCCCCTGGATCTCATCGTCTGAAGCAAGTCATGTGGCCAAGTCCAAGTCCAGGAATGGGGAAGATCATCCATGCTCTCTGAGACTGTGACGAGGATGTGGACCCGTCATCCCCACCCCCCCCGCCCCCCAACCCAGGGAATCAATAATTCAATCTACCGCTAGGAGGTGCTATTGGAAGCCCCAACTGAGACATAGAAAGGAGAACGGGCTTGCCCAATGTCCCTCAGCTGGTAGGAATGGGAAGCAGGTTTGACCCCAGGTGATTTAACTCCAGAATTATGGCATCCTCCAAGCGTGCATATGGGGAAGGGAAATTTATTTTCTCCGATATCTGCATTTTTTTTCATCCCTTACTTGCTAATGTCATGCTGGCATCAGCCTCTCTCACAGTTCCTCGTCCATCTATCTATCCATCACCCCCTCCTTCACACATGCTTGGCATTTGGGTGTTCTCTCCACTCTCCAGAATCACAGGCTCAAGTGCAGTTCTTGGGTGTTTTTTGAAATGAACGTTGAGAGGGAAAACTCGCCCCCCCCCCCCCAAGTTAATCTCAGGCACGTGCATAAAATCCCTTTGCAAAGTCCCTGGTGGAATTCGTATCAAAGTGGCTCCGTGATTTCACTTAGAAACAATTTGCTCCATGTCAGACGTGGTTCCTGACACCTGAATGTGAACGCGATCCCGGTGGGCCCAGCGCCATCTCCACAAGGAGCCAGTGTCGACTCGGAGGGAGGAGAGGAAAGACGGCTGGGCGGCGGTGTGTGCGGCTGTGGAATAATGTTCCACACACCCTTACAGAAGGGATTTCCTCCTCCGTGTTTCCATAGAACCTTCCCCGTGTTTGTTTAAACCCGTCGCACACGCCGGTCTGACAGCTGCCTGGCCCAGGGCCTTCCTTGCAGACGCCCGTACAACCGGCCCTTTTAGCGGCGCCCTGCCCCGTGTCCCCCGACGCAATTACTTGGGTATATAAACCTCCCTGAAAGGCGGGCTTTGCTTGGGAGCTAATAAATAAGCCCCCAAGCCACAGCCTGGGTAAGACCTTGAAAAATGGCATCACCATCTACGGGGAATTATGAACCCCGCAAAAAAGCAGCTCATTGTATTTCCAGAAAAAAGAGTTTTGTTTTTAAAAAAATAATGATGATGAATAAAAATCACCAAGGCGTCTGCGTGGAAAAAGCCATCGGGTCTGAGGTTCCAGGGCTGGTCGCGTGGCTGCGTTACTTTTCGGTGCAGATTTTGTGTAAGAGGCATTATTTGCAGGAAAACAAGAGGCCGTTTGGAAGAACTCCCCTCTCACCCCATCTTCCCATTTGCGGTTTCATCCGGAGTGTGACTCTGCATGAGCTGCCACGGACACGGAGCAGGAGCGGGCCACCTCCAGGCAGGTTATCCTTTGCGGGGGGGGGGGGGGGGGCTGAAGATCATGTTTTTCAGAAAAAAGAGGGGGGGAGGGGGAAGGACACTGCCAGGAGGCGCCCCCTAGCGGTGTGCAGGCTCCCCGCTTAGAAGGCACTTTGGGCCCCACTTCTGGACGCTTTAAGGAGGGCTCTGGACCGCGGCCACGGGGACGTGGGCCGGCAGCGGGCTGCGTGCCTGCAGACAAGGGTTCGCTTCTGTCCCTCGGACCTGTTTCCTGGGCGGCGGGCTGCGGGCTCTGAGCGCCCCTTGAGTCGAGTCTTCCCGGATTCAAAGCGTCTTTTCTTTAACCGATGGCGCCCTCACAACAGAATCCGCGGAACCGGCCACTGGCGCGGCTCCCGTGACCTCGGGCAGCCCAGGTGGTTTCTCGGGCGGCCGCCTCGGGCCACTGCGGCGGGCGGTGGGGTGGCGCTCGGTCCCGCCAAGCCTCCCCTCCCCTCCCCGCGGAAGCAACGGCGCGGGGCCCCGGAGCCCGTCAGCCTCCCGGGGACGCAAGCACAGCCCGGCCGGGGGCGCAGCACCCACCCGCGGCGCGGCCTGGAGTCCCAGTGCGTGGGGCTGGCTCCGGACCGCCGGGTCGTTAAAAACGTCTGGCGGGGGGTCGCTGGTCGACTCCAGGGTCTCAGCTTTCTTTCCATTTGAAATCCCCGCATCGCACCCCGTGTTGACTCGGAGGGGGGGCGGGGACCAAGCCCAGCGCGGCGCACGCCGGGGCCTCGCATTCCAGACCCGCGCGGCTGTGCGTCCGCGACCGGCGCGGGGGCGGGTCCTCCCGCGGTTTCCTTCGCCACCCGCGCGCCACTCCCAAACTTTTCCTTCCTGCGCTCGCTCGCCCGCTCGCCCGGGGGGCAGGTGGCCGCGCCTGGATGCCGGGCTCGCGGCGCGGGGCTGGGCGCGCTCCCGCGGAGCCGGAGCCGCAGAGGCCCCCGGACTGCGCTCGTTTCCCGCAGGTACCAGGGGGGAGCCAGGCGCGGGGGTGGGGAGCGGAGGGCCGGCGGGGGGCGCCTGGGTCCGGGCTCCCGCGCCCCTCCGCGTGCCCGCCCCGCAGCGCCGGCGGCGGCCGGGCCGGGCTGGGCACCGGGAGTCCCGGCCGCGGAGGCTGTGCGCAGCCTCAATCCCCGCGGCGCTCGCGGCGCTCCCGGCGCTGGTGGCGGCGGCGGCGGCGGCGGCCCAGCAGACAATGAACTTGCGAGCGCGCCACGCCGAGGCAGGTCTGGGCCCGGTGCGGCTCCGCGGCCCCGGCTCCGCGGCCCGGGCTCCGCCAGGCTCCCGCGGTCCCCGGGAAGGGCGGACCCTCGCCGCCGGTCCTGGCGGTGCTACAGCGGCTCCGCGCGCCGGGCCCCCACGGGCAGGATGGCCGGCGGCTGCGCCAGGGCCCGCGCGTCCCCCTCGCCGGCTGGAGTGGATGCAGCCGGAGCTGGGGGACCGGAGACCGGGCGCCGGGGTGGTGGCGCTGCGGGCAGCGCGAGGCCTGCGGAGGGCGCACGGGTCGGTCCCGGGGGTAGCGCCACCCGCGGTGGCGGCTGCGGGCGGAAGACGGACGGACCAACAGCCCGGCGCTTTCGCCGTGTGAGCGCGTGGGGGGCAGGGGAGGGGGGCTGGGGCTGGGGGCGGGGTTCCCTGGCCGGGCGCTCGCTCCGCCGCGCACTTCGGGGAAGTTTCGGGCGCCGGCGAGGCAGGTAGGTGGGCACCCGCCCCGCTCCCGGCTCTGGCTCCAGGGCCGCGGCTGCTCCAGTCGGAGGGGGCGTGTGATGGCGGGGGGCGGGGGCCCGGGCGCTGACTCCCGAGAAACCTGGTTCCGGGGTGGGGACCGCGGGGGCGGGCCTGGGAGGGACCGGGGCGTGGCCGGGCCCCAGCGGCCTGAACTTTCGCTCTCGGCGCCGCCCCTTCCCTCCCGCCCGCCGCCCGCGCCTCCTCCCGGCGCCCACGGGCTCGCATTGCGGGCGCTTCCCAGCGGCGGCGCGGGGTCCCTGGCGAGCCAAGCGTGGCAGGTCTGAGCGGGATGGCGGGGCGGCGTGGGGGTGGGGGCGGGGGTGGGGGCGGCCCCGGCGCGGGGCAGCGCTGCGGTCGGTCGTGGTGGAGCGCGAGTCTGCGGGGCTGTGTGCGCGGGCGGAGGACACGGTGGCTGTGGGAGGAAGCGCGGGGGTGGGCGTGGAGGGGGGTCCTTGGGGCCCCTGGGATGGCGGGATGGAGGCGCCGTGCCCGGAGCCTTGCCTCTGGGGGATGAATGAGGAGCTGTGGCAGCGCCTGCCGACTCCTCGGGGCGCCCCGGCGCGAGCACGCGTGTGCGTGTTGGGATTCTGAGCCGCCGGGCGCTGCGCGCGGCCGCCCCGCCGCCCCGTCGCGGTCCTGGGTGCCCAGGTGCCCGCGGCCCCGTGAGCGCGGGTGACGAAGCCGCACCGGGGCTGGGCTGCCGGCGGCTGGATGTCCGCGCCCCAGTGAGGAGGCTGGAGGAGGCGGCGGCGAGGCCGGGCCGAGGCCGCTCCTGGGGCTCCCGTATCCCCGTCCCCGGGCCCTGGGCTGGATTCAGTGGGCGAGTTAATGGCCCGGAGTTTTCGGGAATGAGGTTGGGTCCCCAGGACGCTGGGGGGATGTGGCATTTGCAGAGGTTGAGCAGAGGGGCCCGCTCGGTCCCCTCCCAACCCCATTGCAAAGCCATGACCCCCCCCCCCAGCACCGCACTAATTATCGTGCAGTTTACACGCTGTCGGAGCAGGACGTGTTGATTGGTCACAACAGATCGAAGGTGGTTTTGTTTGCGAGAGCGTCGGAATAAGCATGCTTTATACACGAGGCAGTCTTCACCAGACACGTTCTTATAGTCCTAAATGAGTGGCAGGGAAGTGTTCTTTTTTAATTTTAAATATATTTTTTATTGATGTCAGAGAGGAAGGGAAAGGGAGAGAGAGAAACATCAACGATGAGAGAGAATCACGGATCGGCTGCCTCCTGCACGCCCCCTACTGGGGATCGAGCTGCGACCCGGGGAATCAAACCACTGGTTCATAGGTCGATGCTCAACCACTGAGCCGCCCGGCCGGCGAGCCCCACGCCCTTTGAACCTGCACCACCAGCCGCTTTGGGTTGGTGCTGGTTTGTGATGAGACTGTGGCCATCCAGGGCCTGACTGGCACCGGGAGGACGGGGAGCGGAGGCTGGGGCTGCCCTGACGGGTGAGCCCGGGACCCCCCCGGAGAAGGCAGCGTGGACTCAGCTCCAGCCGAGGGGGAGGAAACCCACTAGACAGGTCTTGTTAATTTTCCAGAGAATTCTCAAGCCTGGAATGAAGGGTGGGCTCGAGTTCTAGAAGCCGAGCAGAGGGTTGGGTGAGGGCCTGCCCGGAGGTCGGAGGGTCGGAGGTCGGAGCTTGGCGTCCCCGGTGTTTGTTTACTGGGAAGAGCATTCCACGTCAGAGATGCGACAGGGCCACGCCCCCGAGGCTGAGGGGCTGAGAATTGCCCGTCCTGCCTGTGGCCGCGTGCCAGGCTCCCTCGCCTGCCTGTGGGCCATCCGATAGCTCTGTGAATGTGCGTCTGCATGAAACTTTTTGTAGCATTTCATGGACCAAACAGATCCCTCGGCTGAGCCCCTGGCGATGGCCCCATGGGAAGGCGGACGTGGGCCCAGCCCTCGCGGGAGGGAGCTGACCCGCCAGTGAACGAGGGAACGGGCGCGGCCTGCCGAGCTGGGGGGACAGGGAGGCAGGGACCGTGCTGGAGAGGCCTGGGTTGTGAGGGGCTCATCTCCTTAACAGACGTGGTGTTAAGAGGAGGCTCACACAGCCAGTAAGTGGGTGATGAGTCCAGGCCTCGCACCCCAGCGCCCCCCGCCAGGCCGGGCGGGGCCTCAGAGCTCCCCACGCCTCCTTCCTCCCCCTCGCCAGGCCAGGATTTCACAGATGCCACCGGGAAGGAACCCTTTTGTAGGAGAGGAGTCCCCTCGAGTCCCTTTCAAAAGGAGCTGCCGGCACGGGAGTGCCCTTTAAGAGCAGCCGGTGGCGGGCACCCCTTTAGCAGCATGTGAGTTGGAGGGGGCGCGCTCTGTCACTGGTGGCGGTGGTGCCCCGTCCAACCCCCCCTCCCCGCGGTCTGGGGTCGGAAGCTCAGGAGTGACTCTGACTTCCTGCTCCGCGGTGGCGGTGGCTCCCCTCCGGTCGGGCCTGAGCGGCTGTGTTCTCCCGCGGCCAGCGGGCCAGGCGCTGGGAGGGGAGCGCTCCCACTGCACAGCGGGCTTCCTCACGGTCCTCGGAGCGAGACTTCCTTCCCGAGACGCTTCCCTGGAAATAAAGCACCGACACACACGGTGAGTTGGGCGGAGGCTGCGGCTTCACAGCAGGAGCCTGTATCAGGTTAGCGCATCAGCCCAGGGGGCCGGGCGGGAGAGCAAAGGGTTGGTGGGAATTTGGGCCAACAGGGGCTTCTTTTAAGTTGGGGAATTGGGAGGAAGACGTCGATCAAAACAGCCGTCGCTTGCCGGGTGCCCGCTGGTTCCCAGCTGGCCCTGTGCCAGGCAGGTCACAGGTGCCCCTTTGTCTCGTGGGGGGGGGGGGGGCTCGGAGATCCCAGGGACCGGCTCTGAGCCTGGGGAGGCACCGGCGGGCGGCAGAGAGAGAGCGGAGGAGGAGTGAGTGGGTGGGGAGAGAATGGCAATCACGGCTTCAGGGGAGGCGGGCGTGACCCAGAGTGGAAGGGGGGGTGGCGGCAGTGGCAAGTGGTTCCCGGTTTGTGCCGATGGCGAAAGGGACGTGGAGGAAATGCATCATCATCAGCAGCAGCTCTGCGGGGAGGCTGTTCCCCCAGGGCCGGGGCCAGGTGCGTGGGGGCGGCACTCAGCCAGGGGAGCGGGACCCCGAGAGTCAGAGTTACGTAACGCTGCTGCTGGGCGGCTCCGGCTGGGGGTGCAGCGGAGCCGGCCTCGGAGCGGGCTCCTGAGCGCTAGCACCTCCACGGCTCGGAGCAGGGCTGGCGTCAGGGTGCGCGCACACACGGGCTCTGTGGTTCCTGTAATGGTCAGAACCGGGGCTGGGGTGTCTCTGAGCCCCTGACCTTGCTCATGCAGTTTTCATGTATGTTCCTTGGGAGGGGGTGGGATGCATGACTTCTGCATATTCTCCCGCGTGGACACCCATAGGCCAGGACCCGAGGGATACCTGGGATCCTGGTTCGTTGTCCTCGCTGGTTGCTTCACTCTCTGGGCTGTTTCTCCATCTGTGCAGAGGGCTAGGCACACAGCTGCGCTCCGAGGCCTTTGGCGGGCGCTGTGGAGGGCTGGGGTCAGGCTGGGTTAGGCTGGGTCAGGCTGGGGTCAGCTGGGGTCTGGCTGGGGTCAGCTGGGGTCTGGCTGGGTCAGGCTAGGGTCAGGCTAGAGTCAGGCCAGGGTCAGGCTGGGGTCAGGCCAGGGTCTGGCTGGGGGCAGGCTGGGGTCAGGATAGGTCAGGCTGGGGTAAGGCTGGGTCAGGCTGGGGTCAGGCTGGGTCAGGCTGGGGTCCGGCTGGGGTCCGGCTGGGGTCAGGATGGGTCAGGCTGGGTCAGGATGGGTCAGGCTGGGGTCAGGATGGGTCAGGCTGGGGTCAGGATGGGTCAGGCTGGGGTCAGGATGGGTCAGGCTGGGTCAGGATGGGTCAGGCTGGGGTCAGGCTGGGGTCAGGCTGGGATCAGGATGGGGTAAGGCTGGGTCAGGATGGGTCAGGCTGGGGTCAGGCTGGGGTCAGGCTGGGATCAGGATGGGTCAGGCTAGGGTCAGGCTGGGGTCAGGCTGGGGTCTGGCTGGGGTCAGGCTGGGCCAGGCTGGGGTCAGGCTGGGGTCAGGCTGGGGTCTGGCTGGGGTCAGGCTGGGGTCAGGCTGGGATCAGGATGGGGTAAGGCTGGGATCAGGATGGGTCAGGCTAGGGTCAGGCTGGGCCAGGCTGGGGTCTGGCTGGCTGTGTTCCCACTGATGATGTCGGGCAGAG